CCTGCTGGTGCTTTTCAACAAAGCACTTAATCCCTTAGCTTTGGTTTCCTCAACTGAACAGTATCTATTTCAAAATGCTACTGTGAGGATTAAATAATAGATTAAAAAGAGTTAGGCCAGGCGTAGTGGCTCACGCCTGTAATACAAGCACTTTGGAGGCCAAGGCGGGCAGATCACCTGAGGTCGGGAGTTCAAGATCAGCCTGACCAACATGGTGAAACCCTGTTTAAAAAAAAAAAAAAAAGAGTTGTATAAGGCATGATATGGTGTAAAATCATAAGATTATTATAATCAACTTAGTGTAGAATAAAACTTTTCTAGTAAGTTTTCTTAATAGCCCATTAATATAATATCTGGCTATCCCATGTGTTTAATTTTTTGTTTTTGAGACAGGGTCTTGCTCTGTCACCCAGGGTGGAGTGCAGTGATGCGATCTCTGCTCACTGCAACCTCCACCACCTGGGCTCAAGCAAATTCTCCTGACTCAGCCTCCCAAGTAGCAGGGACTACAGGCGCACACTACTGCACCTGGATAATTTTTATGTTTTTTGTAGAGATGGTGTCTCCCCATGTTGCCCAGGCTGGTATGGAACTCCTGAGCTCAGATGATCCGCCCGCCTCAGCCTCCTAAAGTGCTGGGATTACAGGCGTCAGCCACAGTGCCCAGCCCTCGTGTGTTTAATTTTACTTAATCATTCCTCCCTACCCAATATTCATCATGATAATCTCATGTACTTTTGATATAATTTGAGAACTGAAAGGGGCTTTCATAGCTCTCAAAAGCCCTTTCAGTACTCTTGTCTTATAGTTTTCTCACCTTCTAGAACCTTCTTGTCCAGCCTGTGGCCCACATGCAGCCCAGGATGGCTTTGAATGGGGTCCAACACAAATTCATAAACTTTCTTAAAACAAGAGATATTTTTGATTTTTTTTTTTTTTAGCTTATCAGCTATCGTTAGGGGTTAGTGTATTTTATGTGTGGCCCACGACAATTCTTTAAAAGATTGGACACCACTGCTCTAGAATGTAAGTACCAAGTGAGCAATGAGACACAATAAACATGACAAAGACACTGAGAAGTAATTAAATTCTAAGCCCTTAAGTGACTGAACAGACTCCGTCTTGGCCAAGGGGACCCCAGAGAAACCTTGAAAACTGAGTTCTTAGCCATGACAGGGCGCGAGGTCAGACACACCTCTTTATACCCCCACCTTCACTCACCACCATCAGGCTTTCTTCCTGAAGGGCTAAACAGAAAGTAGCCCTTTGAAAAGACTTGCTCCACCTGACGTCAACCAACTGCCTGAGACTGCCACCCCTTTTGCAGTTAGGACAAAACAACCAACCAGCATTGCTTCCTGATAAGAGACCAGTGACCATGCAGCAGACCTGGCCAGGCTAAGGAGAATGCAGAGAGGGTTTTTGTGTCCTCTGCTTCACCTTTTGACAGGAGAGGGCTGAAAACTCCACCCTCAGATCACGCTAACACCACCACTTTTGAACATGGGTCTTATGGATGGACATGAAGCTCAACTCAACATAACATGCTTCTTCTTTCATAAACATTCATGACTCTGTGTATCGCTTATTAAATATATATATTTGGCCACCCTGCTTAGCATAAGTTCCTGTTTCCTTTACCCCTCACTCCAAGAGTCTGTTTTTGCCTTCTGGCTTCTGAGTGGAGGCTATGCTTCCCTGCCTACCAGGATGGCCTGCAGGCTGCAACCTTTTATGAAAAATAAAGCTCTCCTTTCCAAATGTATGAGCTTTACCATTCTTCAGTTGACAACATAAACAAGATAATTTCAAAAACTAATGACTGCCCTGAAGAATCATACAGACCATTTGAGAGAAAGCATAGGGTGGGGTGAGACTAAGGATTAGATAGTCCAAGGCCTTCTGTACTCTTCTGTTTACAATACTGGGAGCCAATTCATGTCAGACAAAGCAACTGTGGTAGAACCCTGTCTCTACTAAAAAGACAAAACTTAGCCAGGCATGGTGGGAGATGGTAGATGCCTATAATCCCAGCTACTTAGGAGGCTGAGACAGGAGAACTGCTTGAACCTGGGAGGTGGAGGTTGCAGTAGCTGAGATCATGCCACTGCACTCCAGCCTGGGCAACAAAAGAGCAAAACTCCATCTCAAAAACAACATGTAAAATCGGGGTGAAGGGAGTATGACAGACTTTTGTAAATATACCCGAGGCAGAAATTAGGAAGGATTTTCATGAATGAAACTAGGTGGGTTACAATTGGGAATAAAAGTTGTGGAAAGATGAATTTTATTTGATTATTATTTTTTGAGACGGAGTCTTGCTCTGTTGCCAGACTGCAGTGCGGTGGCGCGATCTCGGCTCACCACAACCTCCGCCTCCCAGGTTCACGTGATTCTCCTGCCTCAGCCTCCTGGGTAGCTGGGACTACACGCACACACCACCACACCCAGCTAATTTTTTGTATTTTAGTAGGGACGGCGTTTCACCATATTAGCCAGGATGGTCTCGAGCTCTTGACCTCGTGATCTGCCTGCCTTGGCCTCCCAAAATGCTGGGATTACAGGTGAGAACCACTGTGCCTGGCCATTTTATTTTATTTTTTTTTTTGAGACAGAGTTTGCTCCATTGCCCAGGGTGAAGTGCAACGGCACAATTTCAGCTCACTGCAACCTCTGCCCCCCCGGATTCAAGCGATTCTCCTGTCTCAGCCTCCTGGATGGCTGGGATTACAGGCACCTGCCACCACGCTCGGCTAATTTTTATATTTTTAGTAGAGACAAGGTTTCACCATGTTGGCCAGGCTGGTCTCAAACTTCTTGGCCTCAAGTGATGCACCCGCCTTGGTCTCCCAAAGTGCTGAGATTACAGGTGTGAGCCACTGCACCCAGCTGAAAGATGAATTTTCAGAGAATTGTAGTTATCCAGGAGACCAAAGGTAGGACCAAAAGAAGCATTCTTTAAGAACAAAAAATGGGTCTATGGAGGGACTAGCTATTGCTACTGCAAACCTCATTTCCTTTTCTTGCTAGGTGTACTGCATCTAGACTTTCTCTCTGTCTCCTTGCATCCAGGTAGAACTGTGTGACTAGTACTCCAAATGGAATGTGAATGAAAGTGATTTACCACTTCTGGGCTCAGGCAGTTAAGAAGTGGTGTGCCCTTGCATTCCAGCCTTTTTTCATTTGCTGGCAGGTTGATGCTGGGATGATCCACAGTCATAGGTTGAAGACGGAATGAGCCTGGGTTCTAGAAAGGCTATATAATGCAGAGTCCCCTTGGTTGGTGTATTTAATTGTTTTTAAACTTCTTATGGATAATTTGACACATGCAGAAGAGAGGTTAATTGAATGAACCCCTATTACCTAGCTTCAGCAGTAACCAACATTTTGCCAGTGTGATTTCCAATTCATATATGCTACCTATTTTTTTTCCTTAGAGAAACTTAAAGCAAATTTCAGCTGTATCATTTCATCTGTAAATTCCTCACTGTCTCTCTCTTAAAGACTTTAAAAAACAACCACAATTATCACTGACACACTGTTGTTGTGAAATATACAGTCATGTGCCCCATCATGACATTTCGGTCAGCGACAGACCACATATACAACAGTGGTCCCATAAGATTATAATACCATATTTTTATTGTACCTTTTCTGTATTTAGATATGTTTAGATACCTAAATACTTACCATTGTGTTAAATTGCTTACAGTATTTAGTACAGTAACATGCTGTACAGGTTTGTGCCTGGGAGCAATAGGCTGCCATAAAGCCTAGGTGTGTAGTAGGCCACCTGGGTTTGTTAAATACACTCTATGATGCTCCCACAAGGCCCATAAGGCCTAAGGACACCGCATGATTAGCAGGTTAGGACTTTCAGCCCCAACCCCTACCCCACCAGGCTGAAGTTTCAGCTGATCACCAATGGCCAATGATTTAATTAATCACAACTGTGCAATGAAGTTCCATAAAAACCCAAAGGTTATGTTCCAGGAACCTCCCTGAGTTTAGCTCCTAGAACCTAGTTCCAATCACCAAGGTAAATAAGTAAACCATGAATTTTCCAGAAAACAAAAATTGGCTATTAACCCTAAGCACTTTTTAAAAAATTCTACCAGAATAACATAAAAACTTCCAGTATTTTGCATACTATACAAATAAATTAATTTTATAAAAGGTCCCCTGTACTTACTAAAAATCTTTATTCCTATACAGATAAATGAATTTTATAAAAGTTCTCCTATACTTATTAAAAATCTTTATTACTATACATTTATATTTTGGGGTCCCATTTTCTTTTCTTTTATATATATACATATATATATATATATATATATATTTTTTTTTTAAAGATGGGGTTTCACCATGTTGGTCAGGCTGGTCTTGAACTCCTGACCTCAGGTGATCTGCGCTGCCTTGGCCTCCAAAGTGGTTGAATTACAGGCGTGAACCACCATGCCCGGCCTTTGGGGTCCCATATTCATTGAAGTGGTATCAGATATTAAACGAAAGATCTTTTGGACTAGCAAAGCTGCATTTGAGCTAATTAATAATACAGTTTGGAAAAAAGAGGAACCAGGAAAGGGAAGGAGGAAAAGAATAAGGGAGTGGGTTCTGGTAAAGGTAATGACTTATTTTGGGGGCTGGAAAAAGTACAAAAATTCTGGATGATGCTCCTTCATCTGAACACAGATGTTGCTTATAGGGACACAGGTAGCTTCCCCTGCACCTTCTTAAGGTTTGCTGGAAATGAGCTGACAAAAGGCAGATTGATAGAAGAGGAAAAACGTATCAATGCACATGAAAATACTAGTAAAAAGAAAGAGACATGTTAATAAAGAGACAAAAACCACTGCTGGTCTCCTTTTCCTTTCCAAATTTAAGATTAATGGGAGAAAAACATTTTGTATGACTAGTCTTAGGTGTAGCGACTTTGATGTGTTTTTGGGATGAATATTCATATTGTCTGATTCTTTTTCTCCCAAAAAGTCTTTTTCCTGTTATATCTTCATGTATTATTTTGTCGTGGAGAGGGTACCATAAAGTAGAACATCAGAATAAAGCCCCTGTAAGCCTATTGTTCAAGCTGGCCCTCCAGACTGGCTTGGTGAGTTTTAAAATTCTCATCAGAACAGCATACAGATTGTGCTGTGGGTCCCCAAAATAAAAACCAAATGAGGTTTCCTTCTCATCTTATGTTCTTGGGAGCTTGACTTGTAACCAAGTGGGAGCTTCTTGGTCTCCACCATTGGGAGGCATTATTTTTGGGTGAAGTCCAGTGGCCAGTGATGAAGAAAAGAGTCAAGCTCTGTAAAATATTTTACGAGAGGCAAATATGAATGACCATGGCCTGTGACACAGCCCTCAGGAGGTCCTGAGAATATGTGCCCAAGGTGGGCAGGGTACAGCTTGGTTTTACATATTTTAGGGAGGCATGAGACGTCAATCAAATACATTGATTTTTTTCTCTCAAAAAAAAAAAAAAAAAGGCTGGACACATGGCTCACACTTGTAATCCAAGTACTTTGGGAGGCCGAGGTGGGCAGATCACCTGAGGTCAGGAGTTCAAGACCAGCCTGACCAGCATGGCAAAACCGGTCTCTACTAAAAATATAAAAATTATCCAGCACAGTGGCACATGCCTCTAATCCCAGCTAGTCGGGAGGCTGAGGCAAGAGAATCGTTTGAACCTGGGAGGCAGAGGTTGCAGGGGGCAGAGGTTGCAGTGAGTGGAAATCATGCCACTGCATTCCAGCCTGGGCGACAGCAAAACTCCATCTCAAAAAAAGAGAATAAAACAAAAGAGAAAAAGTGGCACTTTTAAGATATCAATCTGAAGAATGTTAAAGGAAAAACATCACAGAATTAAAAAATTTTAAAACTTCTTGCATTAAAAATAATTCAGTATTTGTAATAAAATCTTGTTTTAACCAATTTAGTTTTGTATATTTTTTTAAATATTAGATTCATCTCTAGAAAGATTATTATGATTTCCTTTCATCATAGCCAACTGAATTATACAACCCCTTTAAAAATTCCTTCTTAGTAACCTTATTACAACGTACAGAGAACAGTCATAATGGTTAGACTGTGTTTTACCCTAAGTATCTCTCTTTCTTGCACAATGTAGTTATTTTATTTCAGGGCAAAAATTCACCCAAAATTCTTGTTTTATTTTGTTTTGAGATGGAGTCTCCCTCTGTTGCCCAAGCTAGACGCAATGGCGCAATCTCGGCTCACTGCAACCTGCCCTCCCAGGTTCAAGCAATTCTCTTGCCTCAGCCTCCTGAGTAGCTGGGATTACAAGCACCCACCACTGCGCCCAGCTAATTTTGTATTTTTAGTAGAGATGGGGTTTCTCCATGTTGGCCAGGCTGGTCTCGACCTCCAGACCCCAGGTGATCCACCTACCTCAGCCTCCCAAAGTGCTGCGATTACAGGCATGAGCCACTGCACCCAGCCCACGATCTTTTTTTTTTTGAGACGGAGTTTTGCTCTTATTGCCCAGGCTGTAATGCAATGGTGTGATCTCGGATCACAACCTCTGCCTCCCAGGTTCAAACAATTCTCCTGCCTCAGCCTCCCAAGTAGCTGGGATTACAGGCATGCATCACCACACCTGGCTAATTTTTGTTTTTGTCCTTTCGTTTTTTGAGACAGTCTCACTCTGTCGCCAGGCACCACGCTGGAGTGCAGTGGCACAATCTTGGCTCACTGCAACCGGCGCCTCCCAGGTTCAAGCAATTCTCCTGCCTCAGCCTACCGAGTAGCTGGGACTACAGGCACACGCCACCACGCCCAGCTAGTTTTTGTATTTTTAGTAGAGACAGGGTTTCACCATGTTTTCCAGGATGATCTCGATCTCTTGATCTCGTGATCCGCCCACCTTGGCCTCCCAAAGTGCTGGGATTACAGGTTTGAGCCACCACGCCCGGCTGAATTTTTATATTTTTTTAATAGAGACAGGGTTTCACCATGTCAGGCTGGTTTCCATTTTATATCAACTCTGGCAAGTAGATGTGCCATAAAACCTACAGAGTGCCTGAAAAGGAGACATTCTCCTCATTTTCTCCTTATTCTTAGATTTGTTTCCCGCTTTTTTTTTTCTATAGAGGAACTGAGCTATAGCCTAGGGTTCTTGTGTGGTGGATCGATGCATGCTGCTTGTGGGTACAACTCGACAGTGTGTCACCAGTGAGTCATTTCTGCCCTCTTATGTGTCTCAGTTTTTCTCTGCATAAGTCTATGATATCTGAGAGGGCTCAAAACACTGGGTGACCAGCCCTTATATGCGCTTCCTGAATGAGCCATTTTTTAAATTAATTTTTGTTGAGGATTTCCCTGTAGGGCCACTGTACATTTCAGAGGGTCAACCCCCCAGACACTCCCACAAAGCCCTCAGTCACCCAGGGGCATATTTTGGCTGAGAGGAGCAAATGCCCTTTCCCTTCAAAGCTGAAGAGCTCAGTCTCTCATATATTTATGAAAACAATTCAGTTCCTCACACAAATGCACACAAATGAACCAAATCAAGATAAATTTTAGGAGAAAAAGCAACAGAGAATTCCCTTCACGACGCATCTCCAACTACAATTAGGATCTTTAAACAACAACTTCCTAGGAGAAAACCAGCTCAGAATAAATCAAGGACCATCAACCAAAGGGAGGTCTGGGGCTCAGGAGGACTTACCAGTTCCGCCAGAGGAGAAGCTCAAACTCAGTGGGGCTTCAATGGGCCCCTGCTTGTACCGTAGCTCTGGTTTCAGACAACTCCTTAGGGGGTCCTGAGTCTTCTCTGAGACACACGTTGGGCACCATTTTATTGTTGCCAAAAAGAGTCAAACTCTGTAAAACATTTTAAGAGATTTATTCTGAGCCAAATATGAGTGGCCATGGCCACTCACAGCCCTCAGGGGGTCCTGAGAACATGTGCCCAAGGTGATCGGGATACAGCTTGGTTTTTTATAGTTTAGGGAGGCATGGGCCAGCAATCAAATACATTTAGGAAATACACTGGTTTCGTTCAGAAAGGCAGGACAACTCAGAGCAGAGGGCTTCCGGACTAGAGGTAAATTTAAACATTGTCTGGCAGACAATTGGTTGAGTTTGTCTAAAGACCTGAGATTCATAGAAAGGAATGTTCAGGTTATGATAAAGGATTGTGGAGACCAAGTTTTATTGTGCAGAGGAAGCTCTCAGAAGACTTCACAGAGAGTAGGTTGAAAATTGTTTTTAACTGGACTTAAAAGGTGCCTAGCTCTTAGTTGATTATCTCCTGGATCTGGGAAGGAAAGAAGGAAGGAGAACAAAGGGGAGAGGGTATTCTCTATAGAATGTGGATTTTTCCCACAAGAGACGTTGCAGGGCAATTTCAAGGTATGGGAAGGAAATAGACTTTGTGGTAAAACATTTTTATTTTCTTCCTTGTTATGCCAGAGTCAGATGGAAAGTAAATCACAATCAATATACAGGGTTAAATAAAACCCATCTGATGAGAATTTATGGTTTGTAGGGCATGACCCCTCAGACCCCTCAGAAAGAAATTGAGCAACGTAAAAAAAAAATCAGAGCTTAGTCCTCAGTCCCCCATCTTGGCCAAAAAGCATTCCACAGAATATATGTGTAGGCCAACAAACACCACCAGCAGATCCCACGGTGCTGGAAAACCTCATTCATAGAGTTGTCTGGCCATCTGGCAGGGTCCCACAGTGCTGGGAAGGCTTGTTTCTAGAGTCCTTTAATTTGATGGTAATAGTTTCACATTATTAGTGATTTGGATAATGGGGAAGACATAGTCTGACCTGATGTAATAGCCAATTGTTTAAGAGGTGAAATGGAGTCAGGCTAAGTCAAAAAAAACATCCTGAACAAAAGGGAGAGGGTATTCTCTGTAAAATGTGGATTTTAAGATATTTCCTGAGCTATTATGATACAGGTCTTTAATTGTGCCTTTCCCTTTTGCTTTATCTGGCATAACATTACATGAAATGTCTAATGTTAATATGGTAATAAATGTCATAAAGAGAGTGAAGATTTGGGCATTACCCAATCAGCAAGGAAAAACCCCGAATGCATCATATTCTTTGATTAGACTTACAATGTGTTTATCCTCCTTATTAAGGGTTATTTGAACCCTGTGATAAATCTTACTTGAAAATTGTGGGACCAACATTAAATTAGAATGTAATACATTTAAGCTCTCTTCCGGCCAATTTATCTCCATAGGTATGGCATCCTGAAGAGGGTATAAATTAATTGTGAGAAACACCTGGTCCTGCTATTTAAATTGTTAACAGACTTGACAACAGTAGACAAACCTATGTTTCCTACCACTTTTGTATTGCACCATATACTGATGTTTGGGAGAGAAAGGTTTTGTCACAGAAGTCAGATAATTCTACAGTGTTATTTTTTCCTTGGCAGGACTCCCTATGGCTAAGGGCCTTAAGAGTCAAAAGACTTACAGCCAATTAATTGTTTTAGGCCATATAGGAATGGATGCGGACGGGCATTCATTACTTCTTAAAATTATTGTTTTAAGTTAAAAAAAACAACTGGCAATAAAACCAAAAAGCAAAATTACAAACTTATTTTTATTATTTTATTTTTTATGGAGATGGAGTCTCGCTCTGTCGCCCATGCTGGAGTGCAGTGGCAAGATCGCAGCTCACTGCAACCTCTGCCTCCCAGGTTCAAGCAATTCTCCTACCTCAGCCTCCCAAGTAGCTGGGATTACCAGCCCTCACCACCATGCCTGGTGGTTTTTTTTTTTTTTAAAGGGGGTTGTTTCAGAATAAATGAATGGAGAAATACAATATAGTTTGATATAGATCAAACTAAATGGATATAAAAAGTTGGGGAAAAGGCTTTTCAGACACCACTGCCGCTGCCAGAAGCCTTGTACTGTCAGCCATGGCCAACCCCATTGTGTTCTTCGACATCTCCGGCAACGGCAAGCCCTTGGGCCGCGTCTCCTTCGAGCTGTTTGCAGACAAGGTTCCAAAGACAGCAGAAAACTTTCGTGCTGTGAGCACTAGAGAGAAAGGATTTGGTTATAAGGGTTCCTGCTTTCACAGAATTATTCCAGGGTTTATGTGTCAGGGTGGTGACTTCACACGCCTTAATGGCACTAGTGGCAAGTCCATCTACAGGGAGAAATTTAATGAGAACTTCATCCTAAAGCATACAGGTCTGGGCATCTTGTCCATGGCAAATGCTGGACCCAATGCAAACAGTTCCCAGGTTTCCATCTGCACTGCCAAGACTGAGTGGTTGGATGGCAAGCGTGTGGTCTTTGGCAAGGTGGAAGAAGGCACGAGTATTGTGGAGACCATGGAGTGCTTTGGGTCTAAGAATGGCAAGACCAGCAAGAAGGTCACCATTGCTGACTGTGGACAACTCTAGTAAGTTCGACTTGTGTTTTATCTTAACCACCAGACCATTCCTTCTGTAGCTCAGGAGAGCACCCTCCACCCCACTTGCTCGCAGCGGCCTATCATCTTTGTGCTCTCACTGCAGTTCCCTTTGGGTTCCATGATTTCCTTGTTCCCTTCCATGCCTAGCTGGATTGCAGAGTTAAGTTTATGATTATGAAATAAAAACTAAATGACAACAATAAAAAAACTTGGGAAAAGAAAAGAATGAATGGAAACAAATTCCGAGAGGTTATAAAAGGTTTATGGACAGTTTTACCTTGTGTAGCCATAGCTGACCAAGATTAAACAGATTTGTTTGCAAAGTGTATTAAAATAAGCTTTAGTATTAAAAGCACATTTATATATGATACATAAGACATATAAAATATATATTATAAAATATATAACATATAATTTATATTATAATGTATAATGGATATAAAAAGTTGGGGAAAGAGGCTTTGCGGATGCTGCTGCTGTTGCCAGGAGCCCTGTACTATCAGCCATGGTCAACCCCAGTTTTATATCCATTATAATGTATATTATACGTTATATATATTATAAAATATAGAACTATTACATAATATATCATAAAGCATATTGCATATTATATATTACATAAAATATAATATATATATATATTTTTTGAGACAGAGTTTTGCAAGCTGGAGTGCAATGATGTGATGCTAGCTCACTGCAAACTCTGCCTCCCAGGTTCAAGTGATTCTCCTGCCTCAGCCTCTGGAGTAGCTGGGATTACCGGGGCCCACCACCATGCCCAGCTAATTTTTTGTACTTTTAATAGAGACAGGGTTACACCACATTGGCCAGGCTGGTCTCAAACTTCTGAGCTCAAGAAATCCACCAGCCTTGGCCTCCAAAAGTGCTGAGATTACAGATGTGAGCCACCATGCCCAGCCAAGTGTTGTATTTTCAAGGAGGCTCAAGGAAAGGATGGGAAAAATTCTGACAAATACAGGTTTCTGATAACTATGAAACTGTATCATTGGACTAGGTAAAAATTTCCAAAGTCTAATGAAAATAAAACTGGTCTTATAAAATTACTAACCTCCAGACTGTTTTCCATTTTTCACCCACTTTTCTGACTTGGAATCACTAAAAATTAAAATGGCCTTTTTTGGCTTGGTGCAGTGGCTCATGCCTGTAAATCCCAGCTCCTTAGGAAGCCAATTCAGGAGGATTCCTTGAGCCCGGGGGTTCAAGACCAGCCTGAGCAACATAAAGATACCCCGTCTCAGAAAGAAAACTAAACAAATTAACCAGGTGTGTGGTACATGCCTTTGGTCCCAGCTACTTGGGAGGATGAGGTGGCAGGGTGGCTTTGCCCAGGAGCTTAAGGCTACAATGAGACATGATCACACCACTGCACTCCAGCCTGGGTGACAGAGCAAGACCTTGTCTCAACAAAAAAAAACCAAAAACCCAAACAAAAAACCCTGCCTTTTTACTAAGGCCTTACCAGCTAAAGCTAGTCAAACTGGCTTTGAAAAAAAAAAAAAAAAAATCACCACAACAGCTTATATTTGGACAAACTTTACACACAACCTACAATCTAGGAAAATATATTATTATTAATCTTGCCAACCGACTGCCCTCCAGACTCTAAAGAAACTAGTTTATAGAGTACACCAGACATTAAGCTTCGTTTGTCTTGTTCCATTAGAAATGTCTCATTAAAGATCTGTTTGCTTACATCATATATAGAGGTCTAGCTTTGAGAACTCATCTACAATGCCATCTCCTGAAATGAGACACAACAATTTAACTGGACTGGCCAAATGAGAGACTGGTTTAATGGGATCCTTTGCCAATCAATTTCTAGCCTGATTTCTCTCTCCAAAGACACCAACTCAGCTTATAGTGAAACTTCTAAGGAAGTTTCAAACAAAGGATATAAAGGAGACCAGGGACTCACACTCCAAAATATAGCATCCTATATGTTAATTATTTTTAATTAAAGGCCCTTGGATTCCATCAGATACTGGAGACAGCTTTACTCTGATAACTACCTTATCTGCCTAAAGTCCAGGCCTGTCAAAGAAGACAACAGTTACTTCTAGTCTCTTCCCTGAGTTTTCATTATAGTACAGGAAGAAAGATTGAAACCTGTCAACACACCTGGACAGACTTTTGTCAGAAACCATTGTCTGCTCTGCAGGCTCAACAGTAATTGTCCCAGGCCACTGAATCGCCCTAAAAATCATTTACCATCCACCTTAAAATCACCCACATTTCCCCATCTCCCATATTCCTATGAAGAGGGGCTTATAAGCCTCTGTACCCCATTGGGTCATTCTCTTACAATTCCCTCATGCTATGCACGTTAAAATGTCTATTAACGTGCCCTTTGTCGGTTGATTCAACAAACCCTCAGGGAGCAAAGGGGAAGCCTTTCCTTGCCCCCCACATGCTATATGGCAGAGGGCAAAGCGCTTTAAGTTAATGCTCTGCACAGTCCCTCCACCCCTATCGAGGAAGCACAGCAAGGGGCTTGGGACAGATTTCTTTACGACGTATTTTTTTTTACAATTCCTTTACAATCGCCCAAAAATTTTATCCACTTTCACATCCTCAGGATCCAGCAGAGTGCCTAGAGTGTACACTCTAGAAATGTTTACTGAATTAAGAAACAGCTGACAGTGTGTGCAGATAGTGTGGCCAGAGGAGCAGTTTCAAGTCCCAGGCACTCATTAGTTGTGTGACCTGGGGAAAGTCGCCTAAATATACCGAGATCCTTTTCTTCACCAATGAAACAAGAATACTACTACTTCTCTTGTCTACCTTACTGGCTCCTCAGGAGGCTTTACTTAATGAGCGGCACTGCAAAACGCTGCACACGTGTATGTAGAGTTTTCATAGGGCTGTTGATTAGTCTGAATGGTGAAATGGAAAGAAACCTGGACTCAACAGTCAGAAGCTGTTGGGCCGCTCTCTGTGCAGGGGCTGCGACTAACCGGTTCCGTTTTCTCATCTTAAACACAAAGTTTAGACTTGATGGTCCAGACCCTGTACTTGTAAGTCCGCTACAGGCTCGGAACCTCAAGTGTCCTCAGAAAGGTAAACCCCGGGGTTCCCAGATGCCCCTGCAAGGGCAGGGGCAGTCAAGGTCGCGGGGTACTAAGACGTGGGACGCTCACCCAGTCAAAGTCACACGGGTTGCCGTCTTCGCGTTGGGTGGGCAGACCGTTGCAGAGCGGCGGCAGTTTCCTCACGAGTAGGAAGGCAGCAGAGAGCAGGGCCGACAGAAGGTAGTAAGGTTGAGCCAGCCATCGTGAAAGTCGCGGCACAGAATACACCAGAGCAATTAGAGGTGCCAGGATCGCCATCTTTCCGGCCGCCAGGGCCGGGGCTCATTGGCGTTGTAGATCTGGCCCCGCCTCCCCCACCATAGAGACTGCTATTGGGCCGTACCTCAAATGTACCGCCTCTAAATCCGGATGTAGCTCTCTGGACGCTGTGGTAGGTCAGAACCCAAACAAGAATTTAACATATCATTGGTTAGTCTAGTTGTCGCTTTATCCACCTAAGTCATTTTATTGGACTGTAGCAAACGAAGCTAGCCGAAGAATCTAATAAGGTTAAATAGCACTTTGTAAACGTTCTCATAAGGCGACGGAAGTAGTTACTAAAACAAGGTAGGCGGTACCTGAGGCATCCAATGACAAGCGGCTCCTTGAGAAAGAGGGCGGCACCCCTTAAAAGCATTGTCCAATGAAAATTACCAACGCCAGACACCTAGGCAGCGCCGAGGCAGAGGGGACGATGGAGAATTTTACTGCACTGTTCGGGGCTCAGGCTGACCCACCACCGCCCCCAACCGCACTCGGCTTCGGACCAGGAAAGCCTCCACCCCCGCCACCACCTCCTCCGGGCGGGGGTCCCGGCACGGCCCCGCCTCCCACCGCAGCCACGGCCCCTCCAGGGGCGGACAAGTCAGGACCTGGCTGTGGCCCTTTTTACCTAATGAGGGAACTGCCAGGTGAGTGTGCGGACTTACCAAAGACAGCCAATCAAATCTTAGAGAGGAGGTGCTGGGCGTGGTTCTCAGCAGGCTAGCGGAGATGTCAGGTAACCTAGGAAAGGCAGACCCAGACTGTGGAGCCTTAAGTCGGAAGGGTTGTTAGGATTCACAAGCAGAGGGATGACTTGAATTCAACCAAATGGCGGGGGAGAGGGACTGTGCATCTCTGTGACTATCCTTAGCGCCATGTCCAGGCTCTGTCCCTGACACTGGTTTATGTCTTCCTAAAAAGATGATCCAGGACTGGGCGCGGTGGCTCATGCCTGTAATCCCAGCACTCTGGGAGGCGGAGGCGGGCCAATCACCCAAGGTCAGGAGTTCGAGACCAGCCCGATCAACATGATGAAACCCCCTCTCTACTAAAAATACAAAAATTAGCTGGGCATGGTTGCGTATACGTTAGTCCCAGCTACTCAGGTGGCTGAGGCAGGAGAATCGTTTTAAACCCGGGAGGCGGAGGTTGCGGTGAACCTAGACTGCTCCACGGCAGCCCAGCCTGGGCGATAGAAGGAGACTCCGTCTAAAAACAAAAGATCCAGGAGATCCAGTGTTTCAGTTTGGAACTTGAGAGGCCTGATTTAATATCTTTGGGGACCCAAAGTTTTAATTTTGCTGTTGGTTTGGGGCAAGTTACCATTATTCCTTCTAAGGTTCTGGCGTTTCCTGGTCTGTTCAAAGAAGGGATAAGAATCGAGGCCGGGCGCGGTGGCTCACGCCTGTAATCCCAGCACTTTGGGAGGCCGAGGCGGGTGGATCACGAGGTCAAGAGATCGAGACCATCCTGGTCAACATGGTGAAACCCCGTCTCTACTAAAAAATACAAAAATTCAGCTGGGCATGGTGGCGTGTGCCTGTAATCCCAGCTACTCAGGAGGCTGAGGCAGGAGAATTGCCTGAACCCAGGATGCGGAGGTTGCGGTGAGCCGAGATCGGGTCATTGCACTCCAGCCTGGGTAACAAGAGTGAAACTCCGTCTCAAAAAAAAAAAAAAGAATCGAACCAAACTCTTTTCATTCAATAATGTATTTTGTTGAGTACCTATGTACCAAGCACTTTTCTAAATGCTGGAGATACAGTTATGAACAAGACTGACAAAATGCTTGCCTTTTTTGGAATGTACATGTCAGTGGAGGAGGCATTGTAAACAAGATAATATCAGAGAGTGGTTAATGCTAGGACGAGAAAACATGATAAAGAATTGAAAGGGGCCAGGCGTGTTGCTCACACCTGTAATCCCAGCACTTTGGGAGGCCCAGGCAGGAGGATCCTTTGAGTCCAGGAGTTTGAGACCAGCCTGGGCAACATGGTGAGACCCAGTCTCTACAAAACATGCAAGATTAGCCAGGCATGGTAGTGCATACCTATAGCCCCAGCTATTGGGGAGGCTAAGGGAGGAGATTCTCTTGAATTCGGGAGGTAGCGGCTGCAGTGGACCAAGATAGTGACACTGCAGTCCAGCCTGGGCAACAGATGAGACCATCTCTCAAAAGAAAAAAATGTTGAGGGGCAGAACTACTTTAGCTAGAGTGACCAGAGTTGCTCTTTCCACGTAGCTAACATTTGAACTAAAATGTAAGCATAGACAAAGGGCCAGCTATGTATGGACAGGAGGGAGAGATAATTTTAGATACAAGTAATGAGGTCAGAAACCCTGATGTGAGAAAACGCTTAGAATGTCTGAGGGACAGAAAATCAGTTAGACTCCAGTGAAGTGAACAAAAAGAAAGAGTCATAGGAGAGAGAGACAAAGGAAAGGTGGGAGAGTTAGGCAGAGGCCTTTATAAAGCAATAAAGACATTTAGATGGCAAATACCAAAGGAAGCCATTTAAAAAAAAATTTATACAGGCAAGTTCTCACTGTGTCACCCAGGCTGGACTGCAGTGGCACAATCATAGCTCACTGTAACCTTGAATTCCTGGGCTCATGCTGTCCTCCCAGCTCAGCCTCCCAGGTAGCTAGGACTACAGGCATGCGCCACCATGGTTAGCTAACTTTTAAAAATTTTCTGTAGAGACAGGGTCTTACTGTGTTGCCCAAGCTGGTCTTGAACTCCTGGCGAACAGCAATCCTGCCTTGGCCTTCCAAAGTACTGGGATTATAGACGTTAGCCACTGTGCCCAGCCAAGGAAAGCCATTTTAACACAGGAACTTGGTCAGATTTACTTATTTATAATCATTCAAGCAGCCATATGACAAATAGAAAGTGGGGAAGTCCAAAGTTACTACTCAGTAGTCCAGGAAAATGATGGTTCAAACCAGGGCATAGCAGGGCATAGAGAAGTAAATGGATACAGGGTGTTAGAGGTAGAGCTGATGGGGATGAAAAGTTGAATATAGGGCCAGGCGCTGTGGCTCACGCCAGTAATCCCAGCACTTTGGGAGGCCAAGGTGGGAGAATTGCTTGAGCCCAAAAGTTTGAGACCAGCCTGGGAAACATAATGAGACCCATCTCTGCAAAAAAATATATATATATAAATTAGCTAGGCATAGTGATGTGTGCCTGTAGCCTCAGCTACTTAGGTGGCTGAGGTGGTAGATTCACTTGAGCCCAGGAAGTTGAGGCTGCAGTGACCCATGATCGCACCACTGCACCCCAGCCTGGATAATAGGGGAAGAAGTGAAAGAGAAAGTAAAGTGAAGGAATGATGGTTTCTTAAGTTTTCACCTAGAATAATTAGGCGTATGGGTATGGAGACTTGGAAGATGAGGAAGGAACAAGTTCGAAGAGGTAGAAATCAAGTTTTCTGGACATGTTAGGTCTCCAAGATGCCTTTCATTATCTCAAGTCTTATTTCCACATCATGACTTGAGGGAAATAACAACAAATATTGTTATGGTACTCTGAAGTTCACGACACACTGATATGTAGTAGTATTTAATAGTTAGAATAGCCCTTTGAGGTAGGCATTGTTATCTACATTTTATAATTGGAAAAACAAACAGAGAAGTTGCCATCCCTTTGATTAGTCAGTGGTTGATGGCCACTAGCAGTTTCTTTTAATCTTTCTTTTGCCTTCCCTATTCTGATTGTAACTATTTATATAATAGCTATAGTCAGTCGACAGATACTGAATATCTGTTCTGGGCAAATGCAGGGTGTATGAGAAGGGTGAGAAGGAGGAAGAGACTAGTAATGCTGGTCATTGCTCTTCAAGTTTAGTTCGGAATAAGATTTGTGGTTTAAGGATAAGTGACTATATTTCTTGTCAATTCCATCTCATTATTCTGTGCTCATGCCTCACAACAGCAATTAATAATATCTTAGCCATCAATATTAAGAACTACCTAATGGTTTTCAGTGTGTTGTTATCCAAAATGACAGCAAGAATAAGATGTCATTTGACCTAGACCTTGAATAATTCATGTTGGTGAAGAAAATTTAGGAAGAATTTTCCTAAAAGGAAATAATGTGAGGGGTGTTATTTTGAAGAGATAGGGAGACCCATTTGGATGGATCAGAAATTTTGCATAGAGGAGTAGTGATTGATGAGGCCCCCAAAGCTAAGTTGGAGCAGATGTAATTAGCCTTGAGTGCCAGTCAGAGGAATTTGAGCTTTCTCCTGAGGGCGAAAGGAAACCATTAAGATTGGTGACCTGAGGAGTACTGCTTTCCAAAAATATCTGGAACATGTGGTGCCATAGATTGAAATAGAGAAGCCATGAGTAATGTGGGCAAGATTTGGAATTTTTTTTTGTTATTAAGATGGAGTCTCCCTCTATTGCTCAGGCTGGAGTGCAGTGGTGCAATCTCAGCTCACTGCAACGTCTGCCTCCTAGATTCAAGCAATTCTCCTGCCTCAGCCTCCTGGTGTGCCATACCTGGCTAGTTCTTTTTGTATTTTTAGTAGAGACCGCGTTTCACCATATTGGCTAGACTGGTCTCAAACTCCTGACCTCGTGATCCACCCACTTCAGCCTCCCAGAAGTGTTGGGATTACAGGCGTGAGCCACTGTACCCGGCCAAGATTTTGAATTTTAAAACAAAAAAAATTGTTTTGTTTTTTTAAATCTTGCTGGGTGCAGTGGCTCACGCCTGTAATCCTAGCATGTTGGGAGGCTGAGGCAGGCAGATGGCTTGAGTCTAGGAGTTCAAGGCTAGCCTGGGCAACATACCCATCTCTACAAAAAAATACAAAAACTAGCCAGGCATGGCAGTGTATGCATGTAGTCCCAGCTACCTGGGAGGCTGAGGCAGGAAAATAGTTTGAGCCCAGGATGCAGAGATTGCAGTGCGCCAAGATTGTGCTGTTGCACTCCAGCCTGGATGACAGAGCGAGACCATCTCAAAAAATAAAAAATAATCTTTGTAGAACTAATAGTCAAAACAAGAATTTGAACTCTCATGTTAGAGTTTAGAAAAAGCACAGACTGCCTTCTCATCTGAGCCTTAAGGATAACC